CTAGTCTTGATCATACAGTGATACCCTCTTTCAAAAACATATATAAGTAGGGCTGGGACAATGATTCAGTCAATAAAGTAGTTGTTGGGCAAGCATAAGGTCCTGAGTTCAAATCTCCTGCCTGGCCCAGCACATGTAAAATGCAAGCCAGGAATCTCGTGCCCATAATTACAGTATCGGGGAAGTGAGAACAGGGGCATCTCTGAGCCTGGATGGCCAGCAAGAATTACTGAATCAGTGAGCTCTAGGTTCAGAGAGAGACCCTGTGTCAAAAAAAATAAAGGTAGAACTCGATAAAGGGCATTCCAAATCCACCTCTGGTCTCTATACACACACACACACACACACACACACACACACACGCGCGCGCACGTACATATACATGCACACACCATACAAGCAAAAAGCAGTTTCTTTAAATAGCAAAAACACCTATCACTGTTGCCCAAGCTTTTAAAATCGAACTGAACTTGTAAAAGGGATTGTCTGCTGCTGACTTACCCACGGAAGGGTGAGGCGTGAAAGGAAAAGAAGCAGGACCTCCGGTTCTCCTTGGGGTGTCCAGACCCAAGGTGGGGGTATGGCTCGTGACCCCGTGGTCTGCCTGCCCATGCCACGATTACTAGTCAGAAGGGAGGCAGGGTCCTAGCTGGGTCACTGGCTGAACAGCCCCTTCCCTGGCATTTACCATGAACAAGGCTGTGCCCACAGCAGCAACTTTTCCAGCTAGAGAAATGAAACCATCATTTTATCAGGAGCAGCCAGAGACACCCCAAGAGGGCTTTCTAGGCTGAGCAGTGTCTGCGGGTGCAGGTGGGGAGGCAGGCCGTCCATCCATCCATGTGTCCATGCGCGTTTAGGGAGCAGGAAGCCAAGAAGTGCCGGCTCCCTAGTGCTGCTTCGTGCTAACTGGGTCAGAGTCGGGGGGAAGCTTTCCGTGACTTCTCAGACAGGGCGGTGAGGCAGGTGTGTTGAAAGGGATTCACCCTTCATCGCCCGCTCTTGCCATGCAGGTGAAGCTGACAATCCCCGGATCGTTTCTGTGGCCTGCTGCTGTGATGCTAAGCCGTGTCTGCAGAGGGTGGAGTCGCGCCATCACTGGACCGGTGTCTGTTTTCTGGGGCGCCTTTCTTGAAAAATGCTGCAGGGCATGAACCCAGGGCCAAGCATCGTGGCCGCGGGCAGAGCTTCAGCAGCGCCTGTGGCTGCCCAGGCTGAGGTTTTCTGCGGTGACTTCCTGGGCAACTTCCCAGGGGGTTCTGTCCGCATTCCTGCAAGCTTGCCTGTCTTGACCCCCTTGACCTTGACCTCAGGGATTCGACCACACCCTCTCCTGGAAAGTTTAAATCTCAGCCTCTAGGAGCACCTCTCATGATAGTTTGTTTTCTGTAGTGTGTGTGTGTGTGTTGTGTATGTATGGTATGTGCATATTGTTTGTGTGAGGTGTGTGTGTGGTTGTGTGTGTTTTGTGTTATATGTATGGTGTTTGAATGTGGTTGTGTGTGTGTTGTGTGTGTTGTATGTGGCTGTGTGTGTATTGTGTGAGTGTGTTATATGTTATGTGTATGGTGTATGAGTGTGGTTGTGTGTGTTTTGTGTGTGTGGTATGTGTGTGGTGTGTGTGTGGTGTGTGACCTATGTTATGTGTATGGTGTATGAGTGTGGTTGTATGTGTTTTGTGTGTGTGGTGTGTGTTATGTGTATGGTGTATGAGTGTGATTGTGTGTTTTGTGTGTGGTATGTGGTGTGTGTGTGTGGTATGTACATGCATGCAGGTCCTTGTAATTTGTACAGAAACCAGAGGTTAATATTCCGTGTCTTTCTCAATCACTTTTGGAGATGGGAAATCGTCCTCGACCTAGAACTCATGGACTCAGCTAGACTGGCTGGCCAGTGAGACACAGAGATCCAGCCCTCTCCACCTTCCCAGTGCTGGAATTACAGGCCCGCACCACCACACCCGGCTTCTACATGGGTGCTGGGGACCCAAAGTCAGGTCTTCGTGTGTGTACAGCAAGCGCCTTACCACCACCATGTCCCAGCCATCTCCTTAACTTCAAAGTCTTTTTTTAATGTGTATACTTGGGTGTCTGCATGTCTCTGTGTGTACATTGTGTGTGCAGGTATATATGTGTCCCTTGTGTGTCTCCATGTATGTATGTGTACCTTGTATGTGCTTGGTGCCAGGAAGGCCAGTAAAGGATGTCAGTACCTCTAGAATTGGAGTTGCAGGTGGTTATGAGACTCTGTGTGGGTGCTAGGAACCAAATCTGGGTCCTTTGTAAGAACAGCAAGTGCATCCGGCAGTGGTGGCGCATGCCTTTAGTCCCAGCACTCCAGAGGCAGAGGCAGGCGGATCTCTGTGAGTTCGAGGCCAGCCTGGGCTACAGAGTGAGTTCCAGGACAGCCAGGGCTACACAGAGAAACCCTGTCTTGGAAAAAACAACAACAAAAACTAGCAAGTGCTCTTAATCACTGAGCCATCTCTCCAGACGCTACCTTCTCCATTTCTTGTGTTTCTCAACCTGCTGTAACTAGTAATTCTTTTTCTCTCCTTCCTTCACTGTTGGAATCACTGTGTGGGTTCTGTCTGCTAACTGCCTGTGATGGTTACAACACTCACACAGCCTACAGGCCTCCGGGATGCTTCAGACAGCCGCTTGCCTTCCCTTCAATGCGCCTTCCTCCACAAAGCCTCGGAGCGTCATTAGTCACTTCCTCTCTTGAATATCCTTGCATTAGCAGGGTTGGATTAAGAAAACAGAAACCACTCCAAGTGTGTCAAGGCAGAAGAGATTTAATACAGGGACACTGGCGTGTGAGCCCCGGTTTCTTTCCCAGCTGTGTCTCTGTGGCCAGGTTGCTTAGCCGCCCCACAATGCAGTTTCTACCTCTAGAGAAGCAGTGATAGTCCTAACTTATGGGCTGTTCTGAAACTTAAGTACAATTCACGTGCTAGACATGGACGAGGAACTCCACGTATTTTCACATTTTAGGGCACAGAGGGTTGCCGGGTTTTCTTTTCTAAATTATCTCTCCCTCCGAGGACAAGATACTGGTGTGAATGCAGCTACCGTCTTTTTTTTCATATCGTTCTTTAAAATATCTGCCTTGTTTTGTTTTGCTTGAGACGGCATCTCGTTATGTAGCCCACGCTGGTCCTGAATTCTCGGTCATCTTGCTTCAGCCCCCGAACTGCTAAGGTTACGGGCCGGCACTACCGCCCCTGGCTCTGCTGGGCAGTTCTGACACCGATTATTTAATCAGCTCCTTCTGATGAAATTGAAGTGGCTCCCAAACTTGCTATGACAAATAGGGTTGTAAAACTCCTCTATGATCCACCAGCTTTTTTTTTTTCTTTTTACGATGCACAAAACGTCTGGTGTCTTAGAGCTAAAGTACCTTTATGGGCTTGTATCGAAACACAGGGGTGAGCCTCACATCACCTCCCTGCTCTGCATGCCCAGCTTCCCTGCATATTAGTCCGTAATAATTGCACCTGCTTCCCACTGCCTCACAGGGAGCATCCTGGGAACCCAATGTGCATGAAAGCTCAAGAGTGCTGTACTCACGCATCACATTCTTGGCCAAACCTCTAATGGATGCATGCTTTATGATGTGTCCTCCGTCTTCAGCGTCCTGTGTGCCCCACCCCTTCACAGAGCAACTGGCCCACCTGTCACTCCCGCTGCTTGGCAACCGAAGACATGTGCTCTGTGCATCCTTCCATTCCCACACCTCAGATGGAACTGGACACCTTCTGTAAGGCTGGCCAGAAACTGCAGTGAGAGGCTGTGCATTTGTACCAATGAGCCAGGTTATTCTGATCCTCACCCTGGGAACAACTTACTAGGCAAATCAGAAGAGACTTAGGACCAACAAGAAGGCAGAGAGAGTGGCCACATGGTCAGGACCCTGAAGGACCACTAGCAGTTGATGTCATGAATAAGCCGAAATCAGGAAGGAGCGGATACCCGCACATCCTAAAGCTTTGAAGCAATTTTTTTTTTAAATGAGGCAAGATCAGGGTAAACAAACCGCACGGTAGCAGAGACCCCAAAATCAGCCAAGATCATAGAGACAGTGAAACACAAGCAAGGGTCTCCGACCAAAGAACACCAGCCCTGGGTCCTGTGTCTCAGAACTGCTTCGAACCCATAACTATCCCTATGAGGCCAGGTCACCCCAACCCTTGCTGCTGAACCCCATGTGGTGTTGACTCCTTTCTCGTGGGACTTTACTGAGAGCCCCGCTTCCTCTGAGATCAGGGGCTCTTTCCACAGTACCATGAGCGTAAAAAAGCAAGAACACAAAAACAACCCACAGCTTGTGAGACCCATCTCTCCAATGTTGGGGCAGCCCATACAGGATAGGCTGTGACCAACAGATTTTGACAGAGGGGAAATAAAGGTCTCAGGTTCTGTTTCGCTTAATGATTTAATGCAGTTCCACGAATATCCACCTTCTACGGTAAGAACAGGAGGGCAGGGGTGAAAATGGATGATTACTCAGTGGGATTTTGCCCACGCCCATCCTTTCGTCTTATTCAGATTCCACCTGACATGTCTCCTCTTCTACCAAGCCTCCCCCAGCTTTTCCGGTCACACCATGACTCCCCTCTGACTCCTTCGAGATACTTGCCGGGCTCCAGGCTCACGGCCTGCCCCGCGATACTCCAGGCTCACAGCCTGCCCCTTCCTCAAAGTTCCGCTAACTAACAATCCATCTCCCGCTCTTGAACCTGGCTTGAGGCAGTCGTGTGAGAAGGAAGTGATGATGCGCCCATTCTAAAAGCCCTGTGTGTTCCTTTCCTTGCCATGAAGAGTTTTCCCAGCCTAGCCCACTGATCACAAGATGATGATGATGATGATGATGATGATGATGATGATGGAGATGCATATATGATAAACTGAGCCGAGCCCTCAGATGCCTAAGCCAGGCAGCCTCTAGATGTCTGTATTGTTTGCCATTGAGATTTTATAGTTATTTCATATATGGCTGGTAACTACCATTAACACCTCCTGTACATTTCTGTGGTGGTTTCTAAAGATTATTTGGTCATATAATGTTTCTTTGGTTAGGGCTTTTCTACCTAAGAGGTCTAGAGTTAGCACATAAGAATACAGGCTGCCCAGTTAAATTTGAATTTCTGATAAACAATGGATGGTTTTATTTGTTTTTTGTTTATCTGCTTGTTTGTTTTTTGTTTTCTCTGTGTAGCTTTGGAGCCTGTCCTGGATCTCACTCCGTACACCAGACTGGCCTCGAACTCACAGAGATCCGCCTGCCTCTGCCTCCCGAGTGCTGGGATTAAATGCATGCGCCACCACCGCCCGGCTAATGGATGGTTTTAGAATGAAAGGAGCCTGTGCCATTCCTAGAGCATATTTATGCTAAAATTATTTACCTAAAATTCAATTCCTCTGAGCACCCTGTATGTATCTGGCAATCCTACTCCTATACAGTAGAATAAGCACCCCACACTGTAGCTCTGAAGTAGCTCCCCATGTCAGGGAAAGCAATGGCTCAATTAAACTGTAAGGACAAAGGGGAAATCTTGGGGAGATGGATCTTTGGATAAAGAGTTTGCCTGAAAGGATCTCTAGCACCCATGTAAAAGATGGGTAGCAGCAGCCAGTCTGTAATCCCAGCATGCATGGCAGAAGCAATCTAGCTAGCCAAACTTGGCAAAACTGCAAACCCCTGGTTCAGTTAGAGACCCTGCATCAGAATGTAAGAGTGATCCAGGAAGATACCCACTGTCAACTCAGGCTGCTACACACACATGCATCCACACGCATGTGAACACATATCATACTATTCACATATGCATACACAAAAAGGTAAATCTTTAAAGATTTTAATTTACACACCCATGTGTCTGTGGGTGGGCTGGTGCCTGTGGAGGTAGGAAGGGGGCATCAGATCCTCTGGAGCTGGAGTTACACGCACTTGTGAGCTGCCTGATATGAATGCCGGGAAGAAAATTCAGGTCCTCTGCATAAGCAGGAAGCAACCTTAACCACTGAGCCACCTCTCCAGTTCCAAAAAGGTCAATTTTACTTCTCTTATTTCACTGTAGAAAAATCACTTATTATTATTATTATCACAATAATCACGGTGGCAATCACCTGCTCAGTCCCTTATGGAATACACCATCCCATTTTCCTATTACTGCTGTACTGTAGCAAGGAGGCGCTGTCACATTTATTTCCCCATTCATAAACAAAGCCACTGAACACCAGATACCCATGATTACCCGCTGTCACACAGAACGAAGCTGGAGTTCAAATGTAGCACTTCCTCCTTCTGTAATGTGACCCTGACTCCACCTAATGAAAGTGTTTCGTTAAAGTGTTTATAAAACCGAAGATGAAAAAGATGTGTTTCCCAGCCCTCCAGAGTCCTCACCCCCTCCTCCACTATCCATTCCCCTCGTCGGGACGTATTCTAGTTCAAGCTGTATTCATTTCCTGGTGATTCTGCAACAGGGTCTAATGGACTGGGCGCCTCAGTCAGCTGACCCTTATACTCTCAGTGTTCTGAAAGCTAGACATTGGAGTCTAAGCCTCAGCAGGCTTGGTTTTTCCCAAAATGCTGGACACAAGGCTCTGATCCAAGCCAATAATTGTTCATTTTATGCGTCAACTTGACCAGGCCCTGGGATGCCTAGTATCTCGTTAGGCATTGTTTACTGGCATGTCCTTGCAGGTGTTTTCAGAAGACACTAACCTTTAAGGAAATGGAGTAAGAAAAGCAGACTACCCACCCCCAGTGTGAGTGAGCCTCATCTAATCCACCGAGGTCTTCAATAAAACAAAACGGGCAGTTGAATGGGGCTGACTACATCAGTGGATTCCTGGGTCTTCTGCCCTTGGACTAGGGCCTGCATCATCGTTCTCAGGTCTCTGGACTCAGACTAGCAGTGACAGTTAGCAGGACCAGCCCTTTGGTCCTGTTTTCAGTTTGCAGACGGGAGACTACAAACTTTTCGACCTCTACAATTTCGTGAGTCAATTCTCAAGTTTCTTTTCCTCTGTCGCCTATTGGTTCTGTTCCTCTGGGGGAGCCCAACACAAGGCTTCTCTCTTGCTGTGTGCCCAGATCATCTTCCCTCGGTAGATGGAAGTACTTATCGGTGTACTTATCTTCTGAAGACATTAGTCACACTGCACTAGGATCCATTGCAATGACATCATCTCAAGGCAGTAATTTCTATGAAGATCTCATCTCCAAATAAAGTCACAGTCTAAGGTACTGGGGAGCATTCAGCCTAGGATTGGGGGAGGAGGAAACCGAGCATCCCAATATAATCTGTATTGAAAAGGCAAACCTAAGGGATTGGATCTCATACGGTAGGCTTCTGGCACCAATAAGTGGCATTCCAGTTTTTCAAAGCAGCCCTGAGGGGTGAGAAAGGCTCAATCTTCGCTGAGTTTTATTTTTTTAATTTTTTATTACATATATTCATTTGGGGTTATATGATGTACACATATGCCACAGCATACACATGGGGCGTCAGTTCTCTCTCTTTTTTTTTAACCATATGGGTCTCAGGGATCAAAGTCAGGTTATTGGGCTTGCCAGCAGGGAACTCTTCTAGCTGGACTGTCTTGCTGCCCCTAACTTGCAGTTCTTACCAATGACTCCTCCAAGGTGTCACAGCCTCTCACCAAAAGTGCCCTAGCAACTGGTAGAATGTGGCTATTATGAGGATAGGGGATTATGATGGTGGCCAGAACCTAGTAGAGCCAAATGTTATAGTCTCAAAATATGTCCTCTGGCCCTAGTCGGCAGCGCTGTGGTTATCTGGATGGCGACGGAGGACAGAGAGGCGATGGAAGCCCGAGGGGCAGGAGAAAGTTGCCCCACCCTCTCCAAGGTGGCACCTGGTGAAAATACACCTGAGGGGAAGTCAAAGGCTCCTTTGGTAAGAGGATTCCTCTCCTGATTGCCCTAGCCATTCCGCTGGGGGCGGGGGGAGCACTCTAAGCTCCAGCATCCAAGGGTATGTGCTATGAGATTCAGACGCCACCAAGAAGAGCAAGACTATGTCCCATCCCTATAACGGGTACCCACAACAGGTACCCAGCTGCCACCAGGACCCAGCCACCCTTCATGGGATTGTAATGTTACACAAAACTGTCTCTCTTCATCTGAGGGAGGACCTTTCATCTCTCTGTGAATAGGACACACACACACACACACACACACACACACACACACACACACACACACACACATGCATATACACATGTTGACTGGTTCTCAACACAGACCCTATAGGCTTCTTCCTCACTCTGGGGTCCCTGGAAGACCTGTTGTCTCACAGGTAAAATGTGGGGAATGGGAAAGTGACCTCCCCGGTGATAAGAACCGTTACCTAAGCGGATGCCTACCTCACTTACCAATGATGCCTCCCTTACAACTTTTGGGCACCACACCTTCACAGCGGTTTGCTTTCTCCTGTTCTGGAATCTCTAAGTGTATTTCTAACGGGAACCCCATCTGCACACTCTTTGCTTTTGGGCTTTTTTTTTTCTTATTTTTTTCTAGACAAGGTTTCTTTGTCTAACAGCCCTGGCTGTCCTGGAACTCACTATGTAGACCAGGCTGGCCTCAAACTCACAGAGATCTTCCTACTTCTGCCTCCTGAGTGCTGGGATTAAAGATGTGCACCACCACCGCCTGGCCTGGATACTCTTTGCAACATGCCCCAGGCTACTGAGGCTTGGTCCTGAGGGAGTGGTTGTAGGGATCCCCACACTAACTCCACCATCATCCCACCTCTTCTTCCTCACCCCAGAATGCAGAACCCCCAAAGCTAGAACAGCCCACCCTGGAAGAGAATGGAATCTGTGAGGACAGAGATTGCCCAGGGCCCCCTAAGTCACTGTCCCCAAAGTCTGGCCCTACCACCAAGGGTCAGGCTGGCGACGGGCCTGGAGCAGAACCCTCGGAGCTGCCCCCAACCCTGGAGACAGAACACCACAATGCGATGGAGCTGGAGAAGGTGCGCATGGAGTTTGAGCTGACCCGCCTCAAGTATCTGCACCAGGAGAATGAGCGGCAGCGGCAGCATGAGGAGGTGATGGAGCAGCTGCAGCAGCAGCAGCAGCAGGCCTTGCCTCGGCAGGTAGTGGAGTCGTGCTAAGAAGGGCTGAGGGCCATCCTTGTGGGACCCTGGCAAGACAGAGTTCGCTGTACCTGCCTGGCTTTGCATTTCACCTGCCAGTCCCAGGTCTGGCTGAGAGGTGATGAGCATCCATGTCGCTAGCTGCCTCTAGCCCCTGGTGCCTTCAGTCAGTTTGCAAGGTGGTCTGGGACCACTGGCCCGTGTGGTTGACTGTATTTCCATGTTCAATGAGATTCAAGTCTCCAAAGAGAGTTGAGAGGAGGTGGTACCCTGAAACCACATCCTCTACCCAGCAGCCCCCTCCCCTTTTTTTTGGTTTTTCAAGACAGAGCTTTTCTGTGTAGTTTTGATGTCTCTCTTGGATCTCACTCTTTAGACCAGGCTGGCCTCAAACTCACAGAGATCCGCCTGCCTCTGCCTCCTGAGTGCTGGGATTAAAGGCGTGCACCACCACCGCCCAGCACCCCTTTTGATAGTCTGAGTCTTCAATACTCACCCCACAACAGATTTTCCACTCTGTTTGTTTCTCTTAAGATGTGCTAGCTAGTTAGTAGACCCAGCGGTCCCTGTCATCTGACCACTGGATGTCAACAGAACCATGGCCTCCCTTTCAGGGCTGAGTTTTTCTCTGTTGAACACACTGCCTTATAACCAACTAGCGCAACGTTGTTTTTATGAGAAATGTGAACTCAAGCCCTACCATACTAAATGGGGACAAAAACGCTCATCTGCGGGACGGGGATCTAGCTCAGCTGGTAGAGTGCTTGACAAGCATACCTGAAGCCCTGGGTTCGGTCTCCAGCACCAAATAAACCCTAGGTGGGGTCTCCAGGATTCCAGGACTCAGGAGATGGAGGCAGAATGATCCACTCAAGGTGACATAGTAAGTTTGAGGCTAGCCTGGGCTATATGAGACCCTGTTTCAAAAGAAAAGTTGAGATGAAATGCCATGTGAGGTCCTTATCACTGTGACCAGACCATTATAAGCACTTCATGACGAAAGATGTCACCCCTTAAAAGTGGTGCCTCCTGCTCTCTAAAGCCATAGGTTCCAGGGGAAGGGGGGAACCCTGGCTCCACCACTTTTGTAGACCGCTTAACCTTGAACACACTCCTAATCCCCCTGGGGCCGTAATTTGCTCATCACCAAAGTCAAACCTATCTCCTGGGGTCTTTGTAAAGAAGAGAGAGAATGCATGCAAGCCGCTTTGCAATGAACCAGCACATTAGGTAAGTGCTCAGTAATTGTTAGCTATTACCATTTTTATGAACTCATGTAATTCACTTCTTGACCCGCACACAGCAACTTACATTCATCACTTCTCCGTTTTATTGGGAGGTGATGTATTAGCTATGCTTCCCAGCTCTGAGTCATCCAGGGTTCTGAGAAGTTTGTCCTTAGCTGAGCTGTTGCTATAATTGTTGAGAAGGATCTGACCCAAAGTAAATCCCAGACCCCGCTACAGGTTACCGGGGTTCCATCAATCAACACGGTGCTGTTACATTTTCCCCAGCTCACATTTCTGCAGCTTGCCCTGAGCCCAGTGTCAAAAGGCTTCCCGGAATCAGGCATTACGTTACCTGAATCATTTGTCCAATTGACTGGTCAATTCTTTAGAGATCAAAATGGGTTTATTTTACATGACTTGTTCTCAGTGAACACATGCTGGCTTCCTAATTATTTTTTCTTGCTCACAAGCTACATGCTTAATTATACATTAAATGACATTACTGAGCCAAGCCAAGCTTATTGAATGGGACATCTGGAATACATTTTCCTCTCCTAATATCTAGAAAACATTTGCTTTTCTCTAGAATTCCCACACATTCCATGATATTTTCCGATTCTCGTATGTTCTTAGATTTTTTTTTTCAGTGTCCAAGGATGGAAACTCTTGCAAAGTTGAGCCAGAAACTATTTAAATCAGACATGCTATTTGTACTATTTCTTGTCTGACTGCTGTGGCAGATCCCCCGACAAACACAGAAGGAAGGGAGGGTCAGTTGTTGGCTCACAGCTCAAGGGAGGAGCCCGAGGAGGCTGATCCCACTGCTTCTGTCAGGACTGGAGCTCTGATAACCTTTTGACTCAGTCCAGGACTCCAACCCACAGGATGCAGCCCACCCACAGTTAGGTGGGAAGTCCCATCTCTGTTAACCTAACCTAGATAACCTCACAGGAATGTCTAAAGGCACAGCTCTAGGGGATTCTAGGCCCTGTCAAGGTGACTGGGGAAATAAGCGATCACAGTCTTGTAGGTCACTGTCTTCTAACCACATTTATTTCTCTCTTTTTAATTTGAAAAATGTTTCTCCTTGCTGGATGATATAAAAGTCCCTATTATAAATTCCTCTGCTTTTAAAAAAAAAGATTATTTATTTATCTAGAAGAGGACATCAGATCTCACTACAGATGGTTGTGAACCACCATGTGGGTGCTGGGAATCGAACTCAGGACCTCTGGAAGAACAACCAGTGCTCTTAACCTCTGAGCCATCTCTCCAGCCCCCAAGTCCTCTGCTTCTTAAAAGATAGACCATGGGTAGTGTTTTGAAAAGTCTAAAGGGCATGGTATATGTTTGTATATATGTATATGTACATATGTGTGTGTTCATGTACAGAGAATATGAACAAGACAGAGGTCACTGTACTGGCATATTATATATATGTGATTATATATATATATATATATATAAACTCATATCACACACACACACACACACACACACACACACACACACACACACACACACACACACCATAGCTTCCTTCCTCCCCTCACTTCAGGCTAACAGCATGCAGGTTGCAGAGTGTGGCGGAAGTCGTGGCATAGAACCCCAGAGGACAGCGCGCTGCCCTGTCTAGAAAGCGTGGACTTTCTTCCTCTGGTCTCCTGCCTTCTTTACTGTTCACCTAGGAGGCAACGTAGCTGGAATCATTTCCGATCCCTTTAGTTTTATGTCTTGATACAGATGCCTTTTCTGTAGCTGTTCTGGGCCCGTGGGAATCCTTTACAGAAATGTTTTACTTCTGGTGCATTTACTAAAAAAAAAAAAGGGGGGGGCAGGGGCTTGAGGGAGCTTGGCTTGACGACAGAGCCTTCCATAGTTCTCTTTTTCTAAGTGGTTGGAAGGAAAGAGAAAACCAAAGGCAGGATGAATGAATGGATAGATAAATTGAACTATACTGAATATATCTAAACTAATATTTCTCACTAGTTTAGGGCATCTCCGTCTTTGCCACTTAGCTGTTAAAATATGACATCTTAAAAAATATTGTGGAGCAGAAACCATGGAAAATTCTTTAGCTCAGACCAAAATGTTTTGCCTCACACGCTGATGACAGCTAGAACAGGGTCAGTCTAAGCCTAGTTATCAACTTCAGAAAAGAGCAGCTCATAGTCAGACCCATCCAAAAACCCAATTCCCTGCAGGGTCAGGGAGCCTATAACTGTAACCACCTGCCCCAGGAAAGAGCAAACCCTGGGGTGGAGGACCACACACTAACCACCGGACATATGCCGAGACACAGGGAGTCTGAGACACTCACTTGAGCTCAAGGGATGCACCTTGAGCATCACTGTGCAGACATCTAGTCTATCGGGAGACAATATCCAAAGAATACTTCTAAGAACCAGAGTCTAGATCTGGGAACCTTGGGGTCCTAGAGAACTTGCTCACATGGGCAAGATGGGACAGAGAGAGAAAGGACAGAATTGGCCTAGTGCTCAGGGTCAGGAGAGAGAAGGCTATCTCAAGATACACAATGAACGAGATCCCTCTATGTGATGGTGACCTCACTTGTTTTTGCTATTTTAGGGGTTCACCACTCAGCTCCCAAATAAATCACAAATGGAGGCTCGTTCTTAATTATAAATGCCCCACCTTAGCTTGGCTTATTTCTAGCCAGCTTTTCTTAACTTTAAATTATCCTGTCTATCTTTTGCATCCGGGCTTTTCCTTTTCTTACTTCTGTATATCTTACTTTCACTCTTACTCCGTGGCTGTCTGTGTAGCTGGGTGGCTGGCCCCTGGAGCCCTCCTCCTTCTCTGGCTACTTCTCTCCTCCCAGATTTCTTCTTCTATATATTCTTTCTACCTGCCAGCCTGGCCTATCCTTTCTCCTGCTTTGCTATTGGCCGTTCGGTTCTTTATCAGACCATCAGGCGTTTCAGACAGGCACAATAACACAGCTTCACAGAGCTAAACAAATGCAATATAAACAAAAGTAACACACCTTAAAATGATAGTCTACAACACTCACTAGGATTTTTTTTTCATTTTTCTTCTCCTTCTTCCTCGTGATTTTGGGAGGGGGCTATTACAACTCAGTGACCTCCTTGAGGTCACCTTCAGGGCCAGGGCAGGACTGAATCAGATCTGGTGTTCCCACCTACCCACCCACGCCGTCTTCTTTCCCCACAGTTCTCAGGAGGCCTCCAGGACCTCCTGCTCCCCCAGAACCAGTTCGCCATGTTCCTGTACTGTTTCATCTTCATCCACATCATCTACGTTGCCAAGGAGATGGTCTTCTTTCTCTTCTCCAAGCATTACCTGTTCTGCCTTGCGGCCATCTTGCTGTGCTTGATTAAAACCCTGTGGTCCTACTTCCAAGTGCCTTTGCTTCTTCATCACCGCAATGTCATCCGTCCATCTGTCCGTCCATGCATCCCCAGACTCCCCCCTTCCCATGGCAACGTGGCTCAATGGCACAGCTGCCAGCTGCTGACACCTAAGTGTGAAGACACTAGGCCTTGAGCCTGCCTCCAGCCTGCTTCTCACTGGGATGACCAGGCCTCCTCCCCAGGGCAGGCAGGGGTAGAGAGAGTAGAGGGGTGGGGAGGTGGGGAAGTCAGGGGTGGGGTGGGGGTGGAGGGTTGTGGCAGTGGGGATCTTCAAGGAGGGCCTGGAAAACCTTTCTAGAATCATAGAATCAATTAGTGACCAAGCTGGCTTGGGTCCCACCACATCTACTCATGTTCAAGGTTAAAGTGAGCCCCTCCCCCCACAAAAATGTTCTTGTCCCAATCCCCAGAATCTTGAGAATGTTACTAAGGCTGTTAGTTCAGAGCCTGAGTCCCGGAAGCCTTCACAAACTGGATTTCACCACGCGTCCTCTACAGGCCAATTAGACAGTGATGAAAAGCAGAAAATGGAGATTTATTCAATGTGGCCACATTAGAAAGAGGAACAAATGAAGAGGTGCATCTTGGGGGTCTTAACACAAAGCTTAGATTCAAATGGGGAGCCAGAGGTATGCATAATTAAGCGGTCTGGGTGTGGCCCTGCCCATCTTTGTCTTAGCCAACATCCTCTGAAAGGTCTGGAAATGGTCAGAACTATATGAAATCTCCTTCCAGACAAGCTCTCCTGTGATGATCTCCAGGCTTCAGCTTTCTTCTCCCAATATGAGACTCCTGGGGACATTGCAATTGGTCTATTGTTTCTGTAGTCTGCTGGCCAAAGGAGAGAGATAGCACACATACCCTAGTTTAGAACGTCTGCATTCCTGCCCACAGATACAACTCTGAGACATGCTAAGAACCTTGACGTGGGAACTGAGCCTGGATCATCCAGTCGGGCCCAATATCATCACAGGTGTGGGGAGCCATCCTCCAGGGTCAGAGTGACGCAAGGCCACACTTCAGGGAACACGGGGGTGAGGGGTGTGTGTGAGGGCCGGAGAGATGGCTCAGTAGTTAAGAGCACTCACTGGCTCCTCTTCTAGAGGACCCAGGTTCAATTCCCAGCACCCACATGGCAGCTCACAACTGTCTGTGACTCAGTTCCAGGGAATTCGACACCCCCACACAGACATACATGTAGGCAAAACACCAATGCACATAAAATTTTTTTTTAAAAAAGGTTAAAAAAAAAAGAATGTGGGCAGTTTCTTTCCCCACCCCCAGCCCCAAATGTGGGCCGTTTCTAGAGGCTAGAAACATCCAGAGTATGAATTCTCCCTGGAGCCTCCAGAAAGAAGCAGCCCTGCCAGTCCACGTTAGACTTTTGAACTCTAGAATAGTAAAGAAAAAAAGTCTTTTTATTTTAACCACCAAACCTATGGCAATTTGTTCCAGTCTGCAGGGAACCTCATAGGAGCCAAGACTCCTGGACCCTTCCAGACATGCCAGCACGTCAGGGTGGCAACACCACGCTGCTGTCAAGATCCATTCTGCATTTGGCCAGAGCCTTCAGACAACCGATTAAAAGGGGACACACTGACATGTCCCCACACATACACCAGGGGACTTGGAATAGGTTTGTAAGAACTGTGGGAAAGGGGACCCTAAAGCAGCCAGAGTGTCCCTTGGTAAGATAGGCAGGAAAATACAGCCACACCCCCAAGACCCAGAAAGGAGGAGAGCCTGGAGGAGGTCATCATTGCTACTTTATGAGAAAATGGGAGGAACTAAAAATACCACACACACAACCCCACATAACACACGCACAATCCAACATAACACACACAACCCAACATAACACACATACAACCCAACATGACACACACAACCCAACATAACACACACAACCCAACATAACACACATACAACCCAACATGACACATACACACCAACATAACACACACAACCCCACATAACACACACAATCCAACATAACACACACAACCCAACATGACACACACACACCCCAACATAACACACACACAACCCCACATAACACTCACACAACCCAACATAACACACACAACCCCATATAACACACACACAACCCCACATAACACACACACAACCCAACATAACACTCACACAATCCAACATAACACACACACAACCCAACATAACACACACACAACCCAACATAACACACACACATACAACCCAACATAACACACACACAACCCAACATAACACACACACAACCCAACATATCACACACAACCCCACATAACACACACAATCCAATATAACACACACAACCCCACGTAACACACACACACAACCCAACATAACACACACACAACCCAACATATCACACACAACCCCACATAACACACAAACAACCCAACATATCACACACAACCCCACATAACACACACACAATCCAATATAACACACACAACCCCACGTAACACACACACACAACCCAACATAACACACACACAACCCAATAACATAAACACACACACACATACACCAACATAACACACACAGAGGCACACAGACTCTCAAAAATGTAGATGCAAACACACCAACAAGATCAAAGTAAATCATTTCCTGTAGCAGGCCTGTTCACCATCTCCAGAGTAAACAGAAGAGGTCTCATCAGGAGCCCAGAGGCAAAATTGCAAGGTGTGCAAAACAAAGAACAGTTGGCCTCCCCCAGCAACTCCCCCTTGCTGGTCCCAACACACCTCTCTTTATAGACTCTCAACTGGTCTGCTCCTGCCAGCCCAAGCGGCAGGACAGCCAGCTCTGGCACTGAGAGCCACATGAGGGCACAAAGTGGCAGAGGCTGGATGCAGCTGTGCACGCAGCGAGTCTCAACCCAGTTCTCTTCCTGCCACAGGGCTTTGCCTTAAGAGGGATGGAGATACGTTTCGGCTGGCTGGGTACCGTGAGTGACGCTCAGTCAAACGGAGAAAATCGTCTTGGGACCACACTGTCAGGATATATTAGCATGCTGTTTATGTCCACAGTGACTTCTCATTTTCCGCCCAGTTCAATGCATCCATCCCCACTTACGCCTGTGTGTGATAGGCACTTAGAATTTGCAAATGGTAAGACTGGCATTTCTCATTAAAGTTTCAGTGATGGGAATGCCTCCTATGGGTCAATTCTCAAGATCACTTACTTGATCCGGGTTTCTGGCATGAGTCTGAGGCAAGGAGATTAGGATAGCAAAGAGTTGCAGGCCTGCCTATTCACCTGTCACAGACAGAGGTGCACACAGGGTAAAAACTAAATGTCTTAAGGCCATCCTGTCACTCCTGTCGCCTGGCAACACTGGACCTAAATGCTTTTGCTTTTCCTAAGAGAAAGATAAACTCTCTTAAGCCATTAAATTAGCATGGCACACCCTGGGTTAGAGATACAAACTCTCTCTTGCCCTCTGCCCCGATACAGTGTTTGAAGACTGATGGCAGTCTAGAACGTGAGTTTAGGAAGATGCAACTCTGCCTGGCCGCCCTCCAAGTTAGGACAAGTCTCCTTGTTGAAATGCAAGGCGGAAAATCAGCCACAAAGGACAGGAAAGAGACACAGCTAAATGGCCACCAACCTAGCAACAAGTCAACACATTAGCAGCTCCTGAGTGCCTCCAGTGCCAAGTACCCAGCTCAATGCTTAAGGAGGCCAGCTTGCCAAAACCCCGGGGAGGCAGAGACATGTACTAAAACCAGCTCAAAGAGAATTCTAGGGTTCAGAGAGTCTTCCTCTGAAGCACAAACTCTTCCCAAGTTCCCATAATCCTGCCTGGTGATGCAGATTTAACACAAGACCACTTAAGGTAGCTTACAGCATAGAGACCTCAGGGATGAAGGGGAGTTGGTTGGAGCCAGTGAAGGCTTCTTGTAAGAGAAGAGCAGCCCCCACCTGGCCAGGAGGGGCTTGATAAACCTGGAAAAGGTATGTGGGGAGGAGGAAGAAGGACTCACACAAGGTCAGCATGGAGGTGTATCCTCTATGCAGAAGGCATGGAATGTTCTTGCTCAGATGAGTGGTGTAAAGGCTAATAGGTTGGCAACTGCTCCAGCCTAGTCGAATCTCGGATATTGGTCTCAGGAATATGAACTTAATCCTTTGGGAAACTGGGCATCCTGGAGCTCGGAGAGAATAATAGCAACACAAAAGAGGCAAGAGAAAAGCCTCCCCACCCCTCAAAAAAGTCTGGAAACTGCGCTTACCTTCACGCTCTTTTCCCATTGCTAGCCTAGAAACATTCTTTTAGAGGTCCAGAGTCTGAGTATAACACTCAACTATAAAACAACAACAAAAACAAAACACAGAGACTGCGGCTTAACAAGGCTTTAGGTTTGTGCAAACGGAGAAGTTCCAGGGGCTCAGCCCGAGGCTGGTGAAGGTGCTATGGAAACGGTAGAGGACTCTCGCTCCTGCTGCTCCACTGCCTCTAACAACAGCTTTCATTCTCCCCGATGGCTTCAGCCTCATCCTCTTGCAGTGCTACCACAGCTCCAGGCACCAAGTCTGCAGGTCAAGAGCAGGTGGGGAGGAAGGACCACTTTCTAAAAGTTTTCCTAACTGGGAGTGCTGGAGCATGCCACCACTCAGGAGGCAGAGGCAGGCAGAGCTCTGTGAGTTCAAGGCCAGCCTGGTCTATATAGAACTTGTCTCAATGTCTTTTTTAAAAACGCCCCCCAAAACAAACAAAGAAACAAAAAGACTTTCCAAGAAGCCCCAAGCACAGATTTCTGATTATATCTCATTGATCAAACACAGTCATGAGGCTACTTCTAGCTACAGGACATCTGATGTTTTGTATGGGGAGCCCACCAGAGGTGACCACTCAGACACAGTCTACAGCCAATTCAAAGTCTTTACTCCAGCCAACTGGGACCACACTCAAGTATTCAGGGACCCAAGTGTAGTCCTGAGCATTTAGACCAAGGGTCTTTTAAAGGCAAAAAGCACATCCTGGTATCTCACTCAGCGGTTTGCACAAGCAAGCAGTTAAACAGAAGCTAAGATAAGCTGTTAGCTAGAAGGGGAGGATTGCACAAGCAGGCAGTTGAACAGAAGCTAAGATAAGCTGTTAGCTAGAGGGGGAGGTTTGCACAAGCAGGCAGTTAAAGAGAAGTTAAGTTAGCTGGGGTATCTTGACCTCGGGTTCTTAGAATAGAGCTGGATAATTTTCTATGTGATTCTCTATCAGGGAGATCAAATTCTAGTTAAAACTGAAATGGCCTCAGCAAGAATACAAGTTGGAGGAACCTCTGCTCTGTCTTGCCCTGTCACAGTTTTTACCTGAGCACTTTTGCATCCTGAAACAAAAGTAGGATTCCAATAAGACAAAGGCAAGAGTTAGTAACTGAATAAGAAACTAGCTGCCCACCGTTCCTGCTTTGGAAGGCATGAGTTACTGAGTCAGAAGCCTTGATTGGTTGAGACAGGCAGGGGGAGCCTGGCAGCAGCCAATCTGGGCCTGAATCCATGCTGTGTCCACTTGAGGAAGAGCACAACAGGCCACAGCTGCATACTACAGTGAGAAGGTCTTGGTTTCACCTGGATGCATATGTGCCTAGAACTGCTCTGGCCTCCATCACCAGGGCAGTGGCCCAGCCTGGGGACTTAGAAGGGTACACAGATCAGTGTCAGACATCCTCCAAAGATGCAAGAGTTGCATCCAAGGCTAGCGTCTCTCCCCTTTCTGATCTCACGTCCCACAGAACACAGCCCACCACCAGCCAGGGAATCGACTCCACGGTCCTACACCCAGCTGCTAAAGATTTACTTATTCCCGAGGTATACTCTGCTTTAGCCCAGATAATGAAGCCCTAGTCACATTTCAAGTCGGTATGTGGGGGAGGGGCAAGACACCAAAGTTTGCCTGCTCCCTAAATAGAATACCATAGATTGCCAACCCCAAGTCCAAGGTTAAGCTAGAGTTAAGAGACCACTGTCATTTACTGCAGGGGAAGGACGGCAGGCATTTTTTCTAAAGGCTACTTCCCCCACCTTTTCTGTTGCCACCCCTGTTGAACAGATGACTACAAGTCCTTTGAGTCTCTTGGGCTTCATTTAAGTGACCTGGAAATGACCTAGAAACTCAGAGAGAAACATAAAGGCTTAAAGCTCTCATATCAGACACAGGGAAGCTGCGATTGTATCCGGAGGTGACCTTCTATAATGTGCCCACAGCTGATTCTAGCATGCAGCCAGCACCTGTGAACCAGCAGCATCGGCGATGCCTGGGAGCCACCTTACAAAATGTGGCTTCCTGGATGCCAAGCCCACTGAGTTAGGAACATTGTGACGGGCACCACCCCGGCTAGGATCCTGTGGCCCGGACTGAGACGCCATTCTTCTCTCTGATCGGAAGGCCTTGTTCTTGGCCTTGAGGACGATGTTCCCAAGGGATAAAAGGACAAGGGAGAAAATGAGGTGAGAAGAAGACCTGAGCGTGGTCCCAGAAGTGCTGTGAGGGCCTCCATCTATACCCTGCACAGGCAAGGGCTAGCAGGAGCTGGCAGCATGACCGACCACAGGACGCCCGGGTTAGAAGCTGCACATCTGTTCCTCCCCCTCTGCCGACTGATTTCATCCAGCACTCCAGAAATCACCAGAAAGTTCTGGAATCCTCCCAGGCCTGTGTCTGCCCCTCCTTTATTTATTTATTTATTTATTTATTTATTTTAATGTCTCCCATGTGTGGCTTTGGGGAAATCTTGCTCAGATCCATCCATTCATTATTTAAAGCTTGCCACTGTTCCTTCAGGAAGGTTAAGCATGATTAAAAGATGGGATTTCTCCCCCCACAGGGCACAGCAAAACAGCAGGGGCTCCCACATTCTGAAGCCGTTTTGGCCAACCCCTGTTACATAATTTAATGTCTGTGACTTGCTTGGATTTAATTAGCCAGAGGGGCACAGCTGCAGATTCATTATCAGTACGGCCTAAACTTTGCGGGATCAGAGATTAAGGCAGGGGATTGGCTCCGACTTGCAAGTTCCTCACACTGTGTGAGATGGTGTCAGAGGGAAAGGTATTTTTGTTCCTCTGAAAGCAAAATGGTGACATCAAAAGGTCTCATTGGGCAGGTCCCCACGATGGCCCTTCAGAGATGTCAGCCCCTCTCCGGGTTGTGATTGATAGGATCGTGAGGTAAAAGCCTGGGGTGGGGAGAACAGAGTTGAGCAGGTGAGGGGTAATCAGCAGGAGATGGGGGGCAGGGGGTTACCCACCTGAATGTAAGACCTGCGGGTGGCAGGCAGGAGGGGGCTCCTGAATTTGTGGGCTCAGTGGGCCAGGACAGCACTGGGTCCCTTATTCAAAAACAATTCCAAGGGCCGGGGAGACAGCTCAGCCGGTAAAGTGAGTTCATTTCTTAGGACCCACATAAAGAAGCCAGGCTCAGCTGGCAGGGAAGGAAGGTAAAATAGGGGAGCAAGGCCGATCCCTGGGGCTCTGGCCGGCTGGCCTAAGTCTCCCTGATGAGTTCCCAGTTCGTGAAAGACCCTGTCTCAAAAAAAAAAAAAAAAAAGAAAGAAAGGAAGGAAAAACCATAAAGTGGACAGCACCTGAGGGACAATGTCTGAGGTTATCCTCTGAAATATGCACACTCTCGCACTAGTGCAAGCACACACACACACACACACACACACACACACACACACACACACGCACGCACACACACACACACCCTCACACATACAACAATAGTAATAGGATAATTCCTGATGCTGACAGCGAGCACTGAAGCAAGTGTTGGGCTCTGCTCCCATCCTGCAATGTGTCATTGGAGCATGCCCAGCTCTGGGCATTCGAGGCCAGCATTTACCTGCACATCCAGCTCTGGGAGCAGACTCTGGGCACGAGGGAGGCATCTGTCAGCGAGCATGTCACATTGCAGGTCCCTAGCCACTCATCCTCACCGGGTTCACAGAGACCTCACAGTCGCCACCTTGGGGGACATCTCTTTTCCCTCCTGCCTTCCGCCTGCCTTGTACCCTATTTAGCTGACTCCTTCTCCAGGTTAGAAAAACCCCAAAATAGAAGAAAGCTGCCCTTTTCATCCTCTCGAGCCTCTTGTATCAGATGACAGTCACTTGGGCTCAAACTTTTCATCAAAGGGGCCTTTGTTCCGTCCTGGGACAGAAGGAAGACCTTGGACGACAGCCACCAGGAAGCTGAGCAAGGAGACCTTGCCGAAGAAGTGTGTGTGGGGGTGTGTGGGGGGGTGTCAGGACTTCCCCCTCCCCCCAAGAAGGTTTGGAGACTCTGAGCTTTGGATTCTGCAGGTGCCAGAGCGGTGACTAGTGTGACTGCACACAGCCACCCAATGGCTGGCCCAGCGGCCATTCCACAGGAGCAAAGGTAACAAGGACCTCGGGCTGTGGGATGGCGTCTCACAAGGGGGCACCTTGACAAACTCTTTCTGTGTGGTCTCTCTGTCCAGTGCCCTCCGTTGGGCTGGTCACCCCATGGCCTTAGGCTGTTTTCGCGGCCACAGTTAATGGCACAGATGGCTTAAACCACAGGAATTTCATCCAGGTCTGGAGATTGGAAGCCTAAAATCAAGGTGCTGCCCCCAACCCCCACCCCGGGCTTGCACACGGCCTTCCTCTATGCAGACAAATCTCACATGTCCCTCGGTGTGCCCAAAAATCCCTGTTGCATGGCTTTTCCTGGAAAGACATGAAGACATGTCTGATCATCCCAAATAGGCTCCTGGAGACCAAGAAAAGAATTCCACTGAAGTTCAGCCTGGTGAACTAATGAATTTATTAGGATTGCTTGCAGAGGCGGGGGTACCCCAAAGTCAGCTACACAGCCCCTTCAGACGTTCCCCGGGTGATTTATAGGCAGTAACCCCCCCCCAGAAGTCGCACCTCAGTCAACAGCTCACGTCTCACATAGTCTTAGGGTGGGGCAGAGCTGCTGAAGATGAAGGCCTTGGGAGCCTCCTGCCTCCTCCATCACCGGGTGCTAATAGGTGTGATCTTGTAGAGGGCGTGTGTGAGTCCTCCAAAGTGCTGTGCCTTACACGGTGATTGCTATGTGCAGCCTGGAGGAGAGTACAAGGACACCATTAAGACTGGACTGAGGCTGCATCTTAATCACTTCTTTAAAAGCCCTAACTCCAGGCTCAGTCCGTGAAACACTCGCCTTGCAAGTAAAAGGACCCGAGTTCAGTACCCAGAGCACAGTCATAAAAAAGCCAGACATGGTGACACATGCTTATAATCCCAGCACCAAGGAGGTTAAAAACATATTACACATATACACTACTCACCACACATACCCAGCACATGCTACACACATACATACACCACACATGTAGACATATACCACATACATATCATTTAGACATATGCTACACACACAAACATACATCAAACATTCAGACATGCATCATACATACACACCACTCAATACACGCACCACATACATATACACATAACACACATGTATATAGGTCACACACTATCACACACTACCATACACACAGAGACATATCATACATATACCACACAAACATTTCACATACACATTATACATATACACACATACCCCTATACTACATTGGCATACTACACACACATACACACTGCACATCATATGCACACCTCACGTACATTATGCATTATACATGCTACACAGACCACACATGCCATATATATATGTATACACTATACATATACCATATACTACTACTACATACTAACATACACACACATACAGACCACACACATCACACACACCTCACATGTACCATGCATATCACACAGTACTCAAACATACACTATACACACCACATACATACTACCACAATATACCCCAAGTACACATACCACACAAATACTGCACATATCACACACTACCCACACATACACTATACATGCCACATACCACAATATACATATACCATACACCTCATATATATCACACATTGCACACACTACTACACGTAGACCACATACATACTACACAGACCACATACACATATCACCCATATCACACAGTACCATACACATTTATACCATACAAACACACAAGATACACATCATATACACATATACCACACACACACACACACACACACCTCAAATACACATACATATTAAACACACTATACCACACACTGCTACATACATACTACCACAAACTCATCACACATACACACACCACAGTACCACACATATCTCACACTTGTGCCACACAAACACACTACACATATATAGCACACATACACCACAAAAACACAACATATACAGAACACATGTCACACACACACACATTGCAGTAGAGTTCCGATTATTAAAGCAGAACCCAGGGTGAGCATTCAGACACTTGGATGCCTGGGAAACCCGGGTTCCTCAGGTACATGAGGGGTGTTGGCCAGGTGTAGTGAGCAGAGCAGGAAACAGGGAACTCTACTCACCTCCTACCCACCCCCACTGTGTGGAGGTGTGCACACTACGCCTCAGTCCAGGGCAGCCAGCTCCAACATGCATGCGAGAACCTGCTGGCTTTCACATTTCCTTTAGTCACTCTGGGCCCTGGCGGAGTCTGCGGGGCCAGCAGCTCATCGTCCCGAACTCGACGCTGTTTCTTTTAGGGTAAATTCTGTCTCCCTCAGAGACCTGCTGGGGGAATTTCTTCAAACAGAAGCACTCCTGGTACAGAAATAGAGTGTGACTCACTCCCTAATGATGTTTAAGGATGTTTAAGCTCAGAGCGGCGGCAAGGGGACTCTTCCTCCCTTCCCAAGCCGCCTCACCTTGAGGTGTTCCAAGAGGCAGATCTCTTAATGCATTTCAAATCAGGTTAGAGTGGCAAAAATCTAATTTTCATACAACTTCTTATAGACGGGAATTTAACTAAAGCCTAGATCAAGACTAAGGAAGGCTGGATTTGGAGGCCGGGGAGAAGCTGGGGACCCTGGCTGTGACATGGCAGAGGCTGGGGGCCCTGGCTGTGGGGTCGGTGACATGGGAGATGCTGGTAACTGCTCTTTGATGTTGGTGAGACAAAGACAGGAGGGGTCTGGGGACTAGAGAGAGCCGGAGAGGAGGAGAAGAGGAAGAAGCATCATTAGTTGCCATGGTAATGAAGGAAGAAGGAAAGGGGAAGGGAAAAAAATGAGGGGAATCTGGAGGAAGAGCTGCATCTTGCTGCTGCCTACAATAGTCTCCTCAATTTGCTGACGACCCCACGCCCTGTCTGATTCTGCTCATCCCTCGTATAAATCCGTTACTGTGAAATTAAGTGAAAAACAATATTAAACATGGATAAAGTAAGTGGGCACCTACGTGGTGAATCTCTGGGTCTCCAAAAGACCCCCTGGATTCAAAATGTTTTCAGTACCGTCCCGCCACGAAGCCTATGAGTCCACGGAGCAGCATTTCTTGGATTCTTAAGTCATTATGTTCCATTGTAAATCTTCATTAGAATGTTGAATATCTTGGTAATCAATTTTCAGGCTCTCAGAAGGAGGCTGTCATTGTGTGCAGCAAGGACCTCAGTTTCAGTCTAGGAATGCCCGCGCCAGAATTCTGAATGTGTAAGATCCACTAGCAGGCCGACTCCAGATAGGCCATCTTCTAGCATGGCTCCTGTGCTGACAATCGCTATGCGTTGACCCAAAATGTATCCCCTCTGACTTTCTTTGGGGGGGCTTCCTCTTTCTCTGTGAGGGTCAGGTGAGCTGACTTGTGTTAATTACCTGTCTTGTGTCTGTAACCAAGTGACAGAAGGCATTTAGGGAGGACGGGTCATTTCAGCTCACAGTTCAGAGGATACGGTCCATCAAGGCAGACTGGCCGGAATGGTCTGGGGATAGCAATTAATCCTCACTGTCACCATGACTGGATTTGAACTACCTAACGGTATGCCCAGATTGCGACCCCAAAGAGACCACCGAAGACCTTGGATGTCCAGAATGCAGCAGCAAGTTGTATCTATTATTGTAGATACAAGTCTAGGTAGGGAACTCATTCCTACATCCAATACAGTGAGGCAGGCAGGAGTTGCTCTTTCTTTGTGTGGCTAGCTTTTTAAAGGCAAAATCCACAAGCCCTTCAGGGGGGTTGGGAGGGTTTGCACGGGTGTAACTCGGATTGGTTTATTTTATCTCTGTTCTCTTTTAATTGGGTGAGGGTATGTAACCTTTGAATTTACTGGTTGGTGGTTACAATTATCACTTTTGGGGCAGTCCAGCACAAGTCCCAGGCTTTGTCCTTGAGCCGCCATGGGGGCTGGCTGGCCTAGCACGTACTGACTGTGGGGGCTGGTCAGTGGTCCAGGCTCGGTCCTTGACTCATGCACATAACTCTAAGTTGGTGAGGGGTCCCAGACAGTAAACAACTAACTGAACCTTGAGCAGTCAGAGTACATGCAGAAAGGGAGCTACTGCAAGGACTATGTCTTTTGTTCACGGCCCTCCCAGAGACTGCTTGCTCAGTCTCAGGAAACTGAAATTGAGGCCTGATCTCTGAGAGAAGACTGAGCAGCCTGTTATGGCGTCTGCTTGGTCCTTTCACCTAGGAGACTCGCCTCTGAGTGTGCCTTTGAGGGAGTTTCCAGATTGGCTTATATGAGGAGGGAAACCCCACCCTGCACGTGGGTCACTCATGAGCTGGGGTCCCGGGCTGAATGAAAAAAGAGGACACTGAGGTGGTCTCCTGGGCGGCAGCATTCCCCTCTCACTCTCTGACTGAGGAATCGTACTGAGCTGGGAGAAGGAATGTGCAGAACTGCTGGCAGCTGTCTTGTCTCACCTTGGGGAAAGCTACCTGAAAATGGAGCCCACACAAAGAAAAGCGAAACAGAGAGAGGAGAAGCTACAGGAGAGGAGAGAAGACACAGGAGGCAGAGGAGGAAGAATGTGGGTCCTCCCGGGAATGCTTCAGGCACTGGGTCCTCTGGAAGTTAAGAGACATCCCTGAGCATTCCACTTTCCCAGAGTTTGGTTTGAGCAGCATTTCCGTCGTCGCTTGTAAGGAGGAACTCTGAGTCACAGGAGGGCAGAATCTCGGCGTCCAGGATGCCACCTGGGCTCCACAACAGCACAGAGGGGGTATTATTGTAGCCTCTTTCCCCAGCTCGTCTATGGAGAAAGAGGAGAGAGGAGCCCAGACAAGGGAGTTTCCAAGTCACAAAAAGGAGAGCTCCTGGGTACCTGTGAGAGCATGTGTCCTTCCGCAAGGGACAGCCGTCTCCTCTGTTCTTTCGTATAAACAGCCCTGCACTAGCATGGAAAGAGGGGGCGCTGGTAACGGTGCCAAGGGAATTGCAGCGGGGCCTGGCTGGGAAGGCAAGTCCCCTGTGCAACCCAGCGGACAGCAGATGCTGCCGATATACAGTGCATTGTGCAACCTACACGTCCATCACATGGTAGAGGGGTAGTAAAATGTGGGCCATTGATATGCTATTCCACAATAAAAAGAAAATACTTAATCCTACGCTAAGTCAAACCCTGACACAAAAGACTGCATGTTGTCTAATTCTGTTGATATGAAATAGCCACAGTAGGAGACACTAGACACAGGAAATGTATTTGTAGTCGCCTAGGATTACAGGAACAGGGAAACTGTGGGGTGATGGCTAAAGAGTATAGGGCTTCCCTTGGGGTGATGAAATGTTCTGAAACTGACTGGTGGTAATTGGTTAGACAGCCTTGTGAATGTACTAAAAGGATCTCAATCACACATTTTAAAAACGGGTAAAATGCATGTTATGTGAATCATTTCTTAATAAAACTGTTGCCAAAGGAAAAACAAAAAGGCAAGGCTGTGGAGGTTCCCAGTCTATGAGTGGTAGGGTGGGGGCAGGGAGTGGCCTCAGAAAACCTCGGGGCACATCAAGTGGCTGCCACCACTGTGGACTGCCTCTCAGTCCTAAACCGCGGAGACTTTACTGTAGACTGACATGTGAACAAACCACACCACGCGCAGCCTTACGGGATCTACCTTATCCACGCGACATATGCAACCGCCCTCAAGCTTTCTCGGAACCCTGGACCATTCCTTAGGGAACCCCGGAGTTCCCACCCCAAAGGCCTAGAACCTGTTTTCAGAATCTGTAGGTACTTCCCGGTCCACTCTCCATGTGGACAGGATGTAGCAAGTTCTAAAGCCTGAGGCAGAGCTGGGGTTGAAAGAAGAGCCACCCACGGGCTGGGGGCGCAGCTGAGGAGGGGACCGTGAGCTGCTTCCAGCCGGAGCCAGCTCTCCCCACAGCCACCTCGCTCTCATGAAGCCATCTGAGCAGTATGCGGATTCCAAATATAAACTTGACCTTCCAGGTCATTACGAAGTGTGATTCACCAGGATAAGAGGCTAGAACACTGGACCGTGTGTTCATCCACTTCGTAGTTGCAGCTGAACTGTTTTGTGGCACTCCATTCGTCAGCTTCTGCTGTGTGGCTATAAATGTAAAGAGCCACGATCCTAAAAAGTGCCACATTTGAGAGAGAAATCTATCCCAGCTAGTCTTCCCAGTGAATCAGGGTGTGAGGTTTCCCAGGCTGTGATTACAGATTTCAAAAACACAGTTCATAGATTTCTTGCTCCAGGCTAAACAGAAAGCTGCCTGCAACCTTGAAGTTTAATGATTTCTCTCAACTGGTCTCAGCAGAGCTGAGAGATTTGGGAATGTGAGATGCCAGCTGATAGGAGGTCTACGAGCTGGACTAAGAAATCCCATGTCTGTCCGGCTTTCTTGACTTTTCCTTTTTAAGATGTAACAATAGAGTCTACCTGACAGCATAAGATGGCTAGGGACCTCTAAGAACAAGGCTTGGGCAGGCCACAGAGTACCAGCTCATCACTTTTTCTTAAGTCAATTTCTGTGTCCATAAACCCAGAGGGCTTTAAGGCTGGTGCTATCAGGGATAGAGACGTGGCAGATACATGCTCTGGCCGCTAAATCACCATCTGCTCGAGGACTTCACACTGATATCGAAGTCATAAAATGTGTTTAAAAGCATCAATACACACACACACACACACACACACACACACACACACACACACACACACACACACGAGCTCATTTGGTGCAGTTTCCCACCCATGTATGACAGACATGTGAGGCTGATGACGTTTTGCTGAGCATGTTGGTGGAGGGGCAGAGGGCCCTCCTGTGCTTTGGTTGTCTGTAGGATTGCTGACCTCTTTCTACTACTAGATGCCAGTAGCCAGCTCCTTGGCCTCAACTGGGACAACTCAACTGTCCCCACACCCTGCCCTAGGCTCACTTACAGTTTCAGAAGTTCAGTCTGCCCCCTCCAGTGTTTTCTTTATAAGAGTTGCCATGGTCATGGTGTCTTTTCACAGCAACAGAAACCCTAAGACATATACACACCCCACCCTGTCCCTAAAGCTGTTTTGCATGGAATGATGAGAAAGAGTACTTCAAGAGCTGTGAGAGTCAACCAGAAGTCTGATGGGTCTGGAGAGGACAGACACCTAGGACGGACATGTGGACACCCAAATTACTCAAGGTCAGAGAATCTGAGCTTGCTTTACCCAGCAGGGTTTCTTAAGAGGATGATTTGACCACGGGTATGGTTACCAGGTGTTTGGAAGGGTCTGCACTTGGCTGTATCTAGCAAGGGGGGGCGCTTTTGCCTTGCCCCTTGGCATTGTTATAAAAAGCCCTCTTGAACAAAGTTCTGGGCCTTTGGGGACTGACCCAGATCCTCCTAAAGCTCGCCTATGTTTCTGTCTGTCTTCTCATTGGCTAGGCCTATCATTCTACCTGGTATTTTCTTATCCCTCTCTCCTCAAGAGTACTCAGGGTAAAGTGGGGGCAGGTCCCCCACACTGACACCAGCAGCCAGGACACCTGGGGTTCAGAATGCTTTTCTATCCCCCTATGAAAAGAAGATCTTACAGAGGTCTTACAAAGGTAAGACCACCTTCCCTCCAGAAAGAGGGCACCCCCACTCCCACATACAGACTTTCAGAACCTATGAGAACCCCTC